TCAGAGTAACTTAAAATATTAAAATAAGAGTAATTTTGGAGAGACTTCCCTATAAATATTTCTAGAAAGGAACAGATAAATGAATATGAGACTTTAATTGGAACAATTTCAAAGTTTTTGTATATTACTAAATTTCTTATTTTTTATAATGACACATATAAAAGCCACTTTTAAAATTACTATTAATACCGTGATAATCTATAAAAATCAATGTCTACAAATAAAACCACATATCTTTAAATGTTATATACATCTTTCTCTTATTCACATCTCATTTAAATAATTAATTTGGTTTTAAATTTAAAATTATTAAAAATAATTCTAAAGTTATTTATAGTAAATATATCTTCTTTTTATTCTACAAAATAACTAAAGAGTAAAAATAGACTTTTAATAATTTTATCATTAAAAAGACAAATTATAACAAAAAAAAAACTCAATTAATCGAGTTTTATTTTATAAAAGTTGTTTATAAAATTATTTTTTTTTAATTTTCTCAACGTTTCTTTTAGATTTATGATCTCATTGGTCATTTCTTTAAATATTTGACCCTTTCATAGGAATTTTAATGTAAAACACAATATATTTCTACCAAAAAAAAATTGCAACCAAAATAAGTTCATCTTTTGTTCTATTCTTAAGTTATTTTGAGTTTTTACATGTATTTGGTTTATTTTGTAGTTACATGACTTAGGAGGGTTTAAGATGAATATTTGTCTATTGGTTATCATTATAAATTATTGATTTGAGTATCTCTGTTTTTGTGAATAGGACATCTTGTGAGAGTTGAGTTTATGGAGAAAAGTCGAGTAGATGATTCAATTTAGGTAAGGAAAGTTAGCTATTTTTTCTTCTCATTATCCATTGATTGTTATTGTGATGTGGATGAAATTTGTGATGAGATGTGATAACGCTAGATGTTTAGTTAATGTTTGGTTGATTAAACAACTATGTATGCTTGAGAGTTGTTATTAAATTTTGATTTATGAAATGTTTGACTTGTGTGAGTATAAATCTTGAAATATATAAGTTAAGTCAATTTATTTTATTTAAGGTTAACATTCAAGTAGATCAAAAGGGATCAACTGATATAACTACAAGAATTTCTACAAGTAACCTATTTTAGAAGTAGGTTATACTTTTTTATAATTTCTAAAAAAGAAAAAAATACGAGATGAAGCCATTAATACCAAATTGATATATCCATAAGTTTTTAAGTAGAGTAGACGATACTCTCCAAATAATGCACTTGTTAGACAAGCAATCACTCACTAAGCAAGAGTGATATTTGATATGTATATGTAATTAATATAAATGTAGCTATTTCAAATGAGAAAATTCTACACTTGGTGGTTTTTAAGATATGTATCTTGACTCTACTAATAAAATTATCTTGACTCTAGTAATACTAGACTCATAGAGAAAATGACATTAATGAGACTTGATAGAAATTTCTATATTATAAAACAATGGTATGAAAAAGGAGAGTGTCTTAGAAATGGAATTTTTTTTGCTTTATTACGTGAGAATAACTTGAATCCTAAGATGTGAATATCTAGAGTGGAAGAATATATGATAATAAAAAAAAAATTAAGTTTAATTCAATAAATGAGTATTTTGAAAGTAAGAGGAATAATCTATTTTATTTAAAATAGTTGACTAATTATATTATAAAAATCAGTTCAATAAAATAATTGACTTAAATACTTAACTTTAATGTTTCTGTAGTAGGTTAATATATATATATATATATATATATATATATATATATATATATATATATATATATATATATATATATATATATATATATATATATATATATTGTAATTAAGAGATGTATAAACAAAGTATAATAATACTAATTAAATAGAGGGGTTATATCTTTCGTGTGTGAATATTTTTTTTATCTCTTCCATTTCTTAGTCCAATGTATATCCCATCAATAAACTTCTTATCTCTTTATTTTTCTCATTTTGATCTCCTTTTCATCCACTTCAAAAACTGAATATAAATATAATATTCCTGTTAATTTACACTAGCGAGTTGAATATACATAATTTGTGAATATATAAATTGATGTATTTAATTAACTTTATATCAGTAAAAGATGTAAGAAAAAATAAACAGAAAACGAAAAGGGTTTATTAAGAATTTTAAGCAAAAAGGAACACTAAAAATCAACGCACATTGAAGTGTAAACTCTAACAAAATTGAAAATGAGAAGGAAATTTTTTAAAATATGCACAAATTTGAATAATTTGAATAAAGGTTTTAGTTAACGTAAAGGTGAAGAAAGGTATAGAAAGGGTGATTTGAAATTAAATGGGGTATGTTTCGATTCCTACCAATATATGGTTATGGAATTATTGAGCCACATGTAATAATAACTTTTGAATCGTATATGACCATTAATTATAGCCAACCAATAATTGCGTTTGACATTTATACGTAGTGTGTGGTAGTATAGTATGGAGAGAAAGGTACGATACGACTAGCAAAGATGAACCGTACTCACATAATATATTATTATTTATTTCCATAAAATAAATACATTTTATTTCCTTTCTTATTAATACGGTGGGGCTCATCGTATTTGTAGATACTCCTAACTTGAAATCTCTTATACGAGAATGTTACGTAACTTAATAATTAATAACAGATTATAACTTCAACTGATATGAATGTAGGTGATTGCAAATGCTTTTTTGTTTTAATTCAAACAAAACAAATGTTTGGGAATCAATAGGAAAATCTGAATCTACGTGTAAAGGAAACATACTTTGAGTTCAGAGTAATTGTTCGAGGGTGGATTTTATTCACCAATGTTGTTCGAAGTCAATATAAAACAAAAGATATAAAGAAAGAGCAATGATAGATGACAATTTCTTTTAGACGTCAAATCAATACCTAATAATTATTAATATATAATATTGTATATGATACTTATCTTTTTCTCTCTCTCTCTCACCAAAGATAATTTTGAGATTTTATGTATGTGCCATAATATTTAAGGTGATCATGCATATCAAAACAATGTAATATTGCCCTTTAAAGCTTTCATAGCTTTGTCAAAAATATCATCCCATCTAAAATTCCCATTAATACGATCATTTGTATCTTATCAATATTTTATTGACCTTAATTCTACTTCTAATTATATTTAGTAATTCGACATTTTAATCTATTTAAATCTAAATGGACGAATTTATTACTTTATTATTATTTTTTGTTTGTTCAATGTATGAAGGACCCGTGAATAGTACAATAAATATAATAAATACTGATTTATCATACCAAATACTAAAGTGAACTTAAACACCTGCCTTTTCAATTTACCAATTGTATAGTTCATTTTAAGTATAATTATGTTGTAACTTTTTTTATAAGATTTTTTTATATTTTATTTCCTCTAATTTCTTTAGTGACTTTCTAATATAATATATAAATATTAAATTTCAATTGGATAGACACTGGAATACGAAATCAACTTATATCAGCAAAACTTCCATAGCAAAACAATTATAGTGGACAAAAGAATATAAACATATTGTTATACTTATTTTTCACAAAAAAATATAAATAAATTAATACCAAGTATTCCGTAAAATAAAATGATGAAGTAAAACATCAAAATACATTATCGGAATTTAAAAAAACGCATAAATCAGCCTAACAACAAAGTACAAAAGTAAACTATAGAATGACAAACAAAATCATAAACCTAAAAATTAACCTTTCTACTAAGCGCACTCACAATTCTTCTTGTTTTTTCATCAAGAAAAAAGGCACAACACTCACGATTCTCTTTATCTTTGATCAGCAAAGGTGAATAATGGAAAATGTAAACAAAAACTGACAGAAACCCTTGTAAAAGGAATAACACATCTAACAAAGACAACATAACTAACAAAAACAACACAACGTCTTTCACAGGCTAGTGTGGGAACAACAGGAATGCGTAGGAATGAAAAAAAAAATGCAATATATCAAAGAAAAAGAAAATCTTGGACAAAAGTTCAAATTGGAAATGATATTCATGCCAAAGAAAAAGAAAAGATTAATAAAAAAAACTTATGGAAGGTACAGAAAAAAAAATGAAAAATTGACGAAAATGTCAAAATAATAAAAATGGTTAATATGGATATTGTTTTTTCTACTACATTGTTTTGATAAAATAGATTGGTAGGGTAATGAAAAAGGTTTGGATAAATTAAGCGACCTTTAACCTCTACAGTTATTGTGTAAAAAAGAAAACTGTAATTGTTTAAGAATCGTGATTTTTGAATTTTACAGCTATACAAACAGCATAGAGTTTATACGCATCTTTTTGTAGCCTCTTATTTCTTCCATGCTTTTTCATTCACATGTCCGATGGGGGTGATTTAAATGAACTCAGAGTTATAACTTCAACCTCAACCATCAACCAATCTGATCAAACTCCCTAACTGAAGAAGTCACCTAAGTAGTTGAATTACATTTAATACTGGGTGCTCCAGAGAGTGATCCATAACAGGCATTAAATCCAGAGGTTACAGTTACCTAAGCAATTAGCCATTACCACGTCTTTAGCTTCTTCACTTGTCACTTCTCGCACAAATTAATATGCCAAAGCAACATTAAATCCACAGCACTTTCATGGGACATATTCAATCTCTTCCTTCTTTGTCAAAGATACAACATTTTACTCATGATTCATCCAAATAAAACACATTAGATGGGTATATATACCACAAAATAGCTTCATGTTTTACGGCTTTTCATGAGGCTATTTGATCTTTTCGAATCCAGGATTAAAGAAATACTTACGATTGCTTTTCGAATTATCTGCTACACATATACATGGGGTTGTGGGTTTATGTGTGATTCCTTAGTCCATGATCGATATATTATATATAACTTAAGTTAATAAGATAAAGCAAATGTGAAAAATTCCAGACAGTCAGATGAATGTCAAAAGAAAGAAGACACTCTTCTTTACGATTACCGACCACATGTACTTTATCAAGAAGACAGATATTTCCATAAACTTCAGTTTAATATACATATAAATAGAAGAAAACACACACAATACTCAATTCCAAAGAAATGAGCCAGTTACCAACTTCTAATGTACTGTAAATAAAAACAATCAAACACTCTCATTCCTATCATTGCATACGTGAAATTATGGATGCAACATAGTACTACTTAGAGTAATTTCATATTCTCTCTTCAAGGATTATGCTTTTGCGTATAAATATAGTCAACGTGAGCTGCGAGTGTTCTCTTCATCAAGCATTCATCCTCTCCAAAACCATCACAGCTCTCATCAACCGCCTCAACTCTCTGCAAAATATGACATCAGTTAATAAATATCATATAGTATTTAACCGCCATCAGTATAAAAGTGTGTGTATGTAGATACTATTAAATTAGAAAAGATGAATGATAAAGATAAGGAATCTATAACTCTAAAATTAGTTTAAGTATAATTAAAGTTGAGCCAACCTGTTGGTGCGGTTCTGTCAAAGATTCCTGGTGAAAGGCTGGTTCATGGCGTATGGCATGGGAGAGCATGAAGAACAGTAAGAGGGTGAAGAAGAAGGATGTGAGCTTGGTCATGTTGGGAGAGAAGGATGAAAAGTTTTTAAGATGGAAAAAGAAATAGAGGGGATTTGAATGGTAGAGGGAGTGAAAGAAGGAATATATATAGAGATAAGGATGCGAATAGAAGTGTGAAATTTGGAAGTGAGTTATTTATTGTAGCTCACAATCAAAGACCAAGGGCATCGAGGAACTACTGTGAAACAGGGGGATACATAAATAAAACCTCAAACACGCTTTTCTTTTTTGTTGAATAAAGTTGTCCATGAACAGTAAGTCACATGAATATTGAACAGTGGATAAAAACGGAGAGGCACCGAGAAAGCAACCTAGGACCAAAAAGAATCCTTGGATTGGAACTTCTGTATAGGGGTTGGAAAATTTGTTACAGGGCTTGGAAACTGATTAAAGAATTCAAATAAATTATTATATTTTTTATCCTGACTTTTAACGTGGAGTTTTTTGACAAAATTAATTATTTCGTTATTGTTCTTTCCACCAGTATTTTTTTTGTCAAGGGAAGTGTGGTCCATTATAAACAAAAATCATTAGATTTTATTTGAGTGGTTAGGATTTTATGAAAATACAGATAATTTTCTAAAGTCATCATGCGACCACTAAATATGTGCGGATATTTTAAATTAAATATATTTTATTAAATGTGTATGATAAACAATTTAAACTAAAAGTATTTACAATCTCACTTGGTATGGTTTATCTAATGTTATAAGCCTATAAATATTTTTTCGAATATTAAACCTCTATTAAAATAATAATACTTTAACTAGTCCATACTTGGTTACTATTTTTAAGGTTTTTTGTTTTATTAAAACTGTTAATTCGCAATATATTTTCTCTTTAAAAAAGTCACATGACTCTTAAAAGTCAAATCTATAAAAGTTTAAGTTCAACATTAATTGAAAAAAAAAAGTGTATTATACGGCTCTCACTTATTTGGTTGTTTTTGTGATCAGAGTGGTCACTGCATATATATACGTCTGTCTTAATTCATATTGAGCCTATAATTAAGCTTTAAAATTTACTTTTGCAGTTCGCAATGTTAAAATATGTTGATGATTGTTTGGCTCAACAACTTGGAAATGATTTGTGAGGGATGTATTTGGTTATAAAGGTTTAGAAGAAGAAAACAGAGTAATGTGTTTATTTGTCCGAATGTAGAATGTGTATATATAGAATGATGCATTCAGTGTGGTGAGATCTCATGATCTGATGCACGGATTACGGCTAATCAGGCATATGAGCATGAAGACTTTTCAAAGTTGTAGTGATGCCATCAATTAATTCACATCCAGACTCACAACAAGCGTGTATCACCCGTTTGGAATCTTGCTCCGTTTTTCACAACAGTTGGCTATACAAAATCTAGAATTCCCAAGATAAACTTCAACACATTTTTCCCATGCTATTCATACTAACGCTATCACTCACCTAATATTATACAGAAAACTTTTGGTGATGTAATATTTAAGCTTTATCATATTCTATAAATCATTACAATGGTGATGTTCTAATTGGGAATAGTTTTTCTTTTCTTTTTGCGATTTAAACTAGTACAAATACTAAACTTTACATATATTGGGGATGCATTAATTGCATTTCACAGTGTGGCTTGAATAACTTTCATTACTAGTTTACTTGCATTCTCTTTTGTGGGCACGACGTCGACCTATTGTCACTTCCAGCTACGCTCGCATCAACATCGAAAGTCACTGCACCAGGAACAATTCTCACACAACTTCTTATAAAATATATTGCATTATTGAGATTTATCTTCACAAACTTTTAGTTTTCAATTTCAGTTGGATATGAATCCATTTCATTAAGCCTTTTGAATTACGTTTATGGATTATTATGATTAGGATCAAAACTTGTTACTCATAGTCTTTTGTTTCATTCTCGGTTGTTTCCTCTTTATTTTTTATGGTATGTTCTAACATTAGCATGATCTTCTTTTCTAAGATGAAACTAAGTTACTGATTATTTTTTTATAAAATTGTAATACCGTTTGTTCGTTTAATTCTCCCCTTGTTCTATTTCTTATTGTGAGTGATTTCTCTTAACAAGTTAAAGAACTTAATTAATTGCACATTGACACCACCAAAGAAATAGGGATTTCGATTCAATTACATACGCATTTATATCCTGAGGACAAAAATAAAGAATGGAACAATAGATTATTCAGAACTTTTTCTCATGAAACAAAGAGATAAACAAGATTGGGATAGGGATGATAAAATTATTAGGGAGGGTGATGAAGGAAAAAGAACACCATGTCGTATAATGTTAAAAAACTATGGGTAGTAAATATTAAAGTTTTTGATTGGGTATAAAATCAATTAGAGTGTTTTACTAACAAGATTTTTAGACCTATAGATATGGAAAATATCTATGTTAAAGGAGGTAGACGATATATATTAAAAGAGAAACTGAAAAAAAGTGTAATTGAAGGATTCCATTGCTATGAAAAAAGTACGAATATGGGTGTTAAATGTCAGATTAGCACAGCTAGCTGTTAATGCTAATATGGGTTATTTATTTCATAACATCAATGTTTTCTCAGATTATATATTTTATGTTCTTCTTCTCTTCATTTTTTACCTTTTCTTTGTTCTATAAAATAATTAGATAAAAGTTATTTCTTGTAAATTTAAAGTTGTTTGTTGTTACAGTTCAGTTAATTAAAATATTTGAAATCCATACAGTGCACGGTCTTTTAGATTCTATGAATGGATACTGCTTTCGGCAAAAAATTTAAGGAGCTAGGGAAATTCCGACAAGTTGTCAAACATTAACACTTTGTTCCTATTATTACACTTTAAGATTATTATACTCCTACTAAAAACAACAATAAATGTCTTATTTTTTAAAATAACTTTCCTGAAACAATATCATTTTTTATAAATACGTTACTTCAAATTAGAAATGTGAAATTATTGATTTGAAGATATATTAGAAAGAAAAAAAAAATTAAGGTTATGAGAACATAAATTATTTTATAACTTTTTTCAGTAACTAAGATTGTAATTATTATTTTAAAACAAAAGTAGATAAGATTTATGGGAAAAAATGAAATAACATTTGCTTGGTAAGCAAATGTAATTGAAACATTAGATGTTAGATCATATATAATCAAATATTTGTTTTGTTAAAAAATATTGAGGTTTTTTTTATCACATACATGAAATTCTGAAGGAGAATCATAACAACATTACATTCCATGGACTAGTTAAATTTTTTCAACAATTTCTGAACACAATGTTGATAAACGGGGAGCACTAGAATGAGGAAAAACTTAAATAGGGATTTAAAATTAAACTATATGCATATAAATGTTTGAACTCGAATAAGAAGAAACAATGATGAATTAAATTTGGTGAGTGATGTTGACCCGGGATGGTTTGGTTATTATAATAAAACGAAAGGAATTTATGGACAGAAGAAAAGAAAGGAATTTAAGTGAAAACATGAGAGATCCTTCTTGACTATATTTGCGCTGTGTTTGGTAACCAGATGTTCCTCCACTGGAAAGAATTTATTAATTAGCGGATATGTTTGTGTTATTTAAGGTAATTAAGGAAAGTATGGGAGATTTGGTGCCTCAAGCCATTAGTGTCATAGAATAAACAAACTTGAATGCATATGAGTCAAAGGGAATTTTTCTGGTGATTTTTTTTATATTAAAAACACTAGTGAGTTTGTAAAGTTGGAATTGGGTTGGTGTATTCATACTAAGGTCAAAACCTTGTGACTCAGCAAATATCTTAATCTGCTGTTAGAAGTAACTTCAGTAATCAATGCGTTTGTAGTTTCAAACAATAATGATAATAACTACTACACCGTCGTTAATTACTTACATTTAAGCATAAATATGTGTATTATTTAAAGGTGATTTTTTATGGACTGCTTCACATTTATTATGAAATAAAGATAATCTAATCTTTTTTATAAAAATAAAAGTTGTATCTTATCCCAAAAGAAATTGAAAAAACCATTTCAGGGTCTGATATTTAGATTAAATAAAACCATCATATATATTTTTAGTTTAGTTAGATTTTTCTTTTACCATTGTTGTGCTTTGGAAATCATTAATACCTTCTCAAACTTTCGTCAAATATCATTTCTTTATATGGACGTAAAGTTATAAAAATTATAATAAGTATATTTACAGTATCATTTACTTTAAAATAGATATTCAGTATGATGTATGTCAAAATTACTTTTTAGTCTTTTTTTTTTTAAATTATCCATCACGTGTTTTTTTTCTTCTTCTTGTTTTCTTTTATTTTTGGCTTCTTATCTATGGAGCTGCAAAAAAGTATGTTGGCACAGAAGTGGTGTCCTAATAAAAGTATGACTCAATGGAGAATTATGTAATATGTGAATGATTTTATTTTAATATAAAAATAACTGAAATTATGTTAACTCTGCACAACTTCTACAAAAGTTAAAAAAGAAAATAAGACCCATTAAATCTATATTTGATTTATCGAAGTGTATATTTTTTTTACAATAAAATCGTTTTGTAATGCAAGACTGACCAAATCAATAATATTTTCAAAAACTCTTCATTTTGATAATTTTTCGTTAAATGACACTACAAATGAGTTTACCTATGTTGTAGTGGATTATTTACTGCAACAACAAGAAGAAGATTAAATGCATGTAAGATATTGGTAAAAGTTATATAATCATCCAATTGTTAGTTTTTTTAATCGGTTTAATGGCTTTAGTTTAATATGATCTAAATCGATTCACCGTCACCCTGCACAAGAGTGTCTTATTTAGTTTCTGCAGTTGACACCAAAAAACTCAAAGTAATGGAGGTTCATTTTTTAAAGTGTTAGTTTCTTTTAGGATATATTTTTGTCAAATTACTTTATTTACTTCTATTTTTAAAACCATTGATTCAAAAGTAGCTACAAGTTTCAACATATTCATAATGATTATGGTATTCTGATGAACTTCCTTACATGTATGTTGAAGCTTTGACTATTATGCTTCATCAATGTGAATCTGACCACACGTCTTTTAGAGTTTGATGGAACTTATCAATGACTTGCTTATAATATCATATA